ACACACACACACAACCACACACAACCACACACACAAACACACACAAACACACACAAACACACACACACATACACACACACGCGCGCGCACGCGCACGCGCACACGCACACGCACACGCTCACGCACAAACGCCGCACAGCGCATAGCACGCAACAAGCAACACGCAACAAGCAAAACACGCGGCACACTGCTCACACCACTTGGAGCACTGCTCACACACTGCTCACGCGGCACACTGCTCACACACTGCACGACACTCACCAACAACAAACACAAACACATACACAGACAAATAACCGCGCAAACACACACAAGCACACAGACACTGACACACACCCACAGACGCACACGTTTGCATACACACACACACACACACACACTCCGCACACGAACAACATTCGACCCCCCATGGCGGGCGCCATGTTGTGAATCCCTTTGGTGGACTACTGGCCTGCTGGTGTCTCTTGCATTATCTCTCGTCGTATTTCCAGCCTGCTCAATCCTGTCTCCGTTCTGCCGTGAACCAGGGGGCGCGGGGCGTGACTGAAGTCACCCAGGGGGCGTGGATCATCACCCTGGACGCTTTGGGCTGCTTCAGGATCCCCACAGGGCCAAAGGCCCGCAGGACGGCGGCAGCGGACCTTGAATAATGCCTGCAAGACCGACGGATATTGTGCCAAGATGCTTCTGAAATAAGCCAGCAAGGACCTAAGACGCCCAACGCGCAATCATTGAAAGTATACGTGTCTGGCCCGTGTCTTCCTCCCAGCATGTCCAGAAGTCGCTTCAGTACACTCACCCGAGCCCCCAAGATTGGCCAAGATGGTCCCTCAGGGCCCCAATATGCCGCCTAGAGAACCAGCGCTGGCACGCCTGGGCCAAGGTTGCCGAGGATGGATGGCCCCAGAGGCCCAGCGAGGCCCCTGAGAGGCCCCGAAGAAGGGCCCCAAGCAGTCTTAACATGGCCGCGAGAGAGGTCAGCCGCGTGGGGCCTGCGACAGAACACGCAACCCTGCAAACAATGATGATGTTGTATACCCGCATTTATTCGCCGGCCCAACGGGCCAGAGGTGTGCTAAGATCTCTGGTGACTGCTAAAAAATACTTCTACTTCGCGCGCGCGGGGCGGCCCCTGGGGGTCCCCGGACAAAAAGTACCCCGGGCGATCCCCGGCAGACTCGGGTCAGAGATGGTTTTCCTCCTGGGCGCCGCCCCCGTGGCCCTCCAGAGAGAGAGCCCCAAGAAGGGCCACGAGGCCGCCAAGAGCCCTCCAAGATGGTTCAAGAGTGCTCCGAGATGCCACACGATCGTTCCAAGACGCCCAAGATGGCCCCCAGACGCCCCAAGAGGCCTCCAAGAGCACTCCCCAGAGGGCCCCAAGAGGCAAAATTCATTACTTTTCCTTAGGTTTTGGGCAGATTTTGGCGTGTCCATCTTTTCGGCTTCCCGACGCCCCAAGACGGCCCAAGAGGCCCCCAAGATCGCCCCAAGAGGGCCCAAGAAGCTCCCAAGAAGGCCCCAAGATGGCCCAAGAGGGCTCCAAGACGGCCCCAGAGGCATCCAAGACGGCCCAAGAGGGGCCCAAGAGGGCCCCAAGCGATGCCCCAAAGGGGGAACACAAAACAAAACTTCGAGCCCTCGGCCTTAAGAAGCCCCCAGGAGGCCTCAAGCGGCCCCTGAGAGGCCCCAAAAGCCCCCAAGAGGCCCTCAGGAGGCCCCCAAGCGACGCTGAAGAGGCCCCCCAGCGGCCCCAAGAAGCTCAGTCATGCGAAATGGGCCGGCGGAGTGAGCGAAGCGATTCAATCCGCCCGCCCACCGGGCTGAGGGGCGTGTGAGATTTAATTACAAAGTTTTAGCCCCCCCCTTTTTCCCCCCCAGAGGCCTCCGCCATTCCGCCGCCCGGCTGCGGCAATGCCCTTTTTCGGTTTCCAAAACGGCCCCACGACGGCGTCCAAGACAAGCTCGATCTTGGTATCGTTCTGAAGACGCTGCCAGACGCCTGTGGGCTCCATTTCGGCCCCGTCGGGGCCCCTTCTTGGCCTCCAAGATCCGCTCCCGGAGCCCTCGAGAGCGCCTCTTTGGCTCATTCTCGCCGACACGTGGGGATGTCAAAAAAAATTCTAAATACTATGGTTTTGGCCTGATTTCGGCTTCCCCGGGGCTGTCCAGGACGCTGCTTACAATTGACTTCCGGGCTCGCGTGCGTCATTTTTCATCACTCCCTTTGTTCGCCGTTTTTGGGCGCGCTCCGGGGTCCATTTTGGACGCTGCGGGGCCCATGTTGGGCCGCAAAACGGACCCCAAACCAGGTCAAACCCCGCCCGGTTTTTACTGCAAGACGGACGCGTTTGCGACCCAACGCGGAAGTGCTGTCGTTTGAGCCGCCCTGGGCTTCTCCAAGGCCGCCTCGGGGCCTTCTCAGCCTCTTTTTGGGCCCTTTTCGGGTTCCTTTTCGGCCCTTCTTGGCGCCTTGCCGGCCAGATCACCGCCAGGGCAACCGTCGGGGCAACCAACCGCTCGGGCAACCGCCGAGACTAGCAACGGGAAAAGAATCCGGGCAACCGTCGGGACAAGCACCCAAACATCTACCACGGCACGCCACGGGCCAGTCATCTGGTCAGCCATTGGAGAACCCACTCCAAGAGCCACCTTCCCTGCCATCGGATCAATCGACTGCGCAAGCGCGACAAAACCACGAGACTGCCACGCCACCGTATGACACAAGCCCACCACGGGAGCATGCCGCCTTCCCTACCATCGGATCAGTCGACTGCACAAGCACACCACAAGCAGCAGCAGCACTAACACCGGCACCATCAGCACCATCGCCAGCAACAGCAGCAGCGGCACCCGCACTGCACCGTACCACCAGCAGGAGCGACAACAGCAACACCAGCAGCAACACCAGCCGCAGCACCACCACCACTAACAGTAGCAAGTACGACAAACCTACTGTCGAACAGCCACGGGGCATGCCTGAGCGTAGTCGGCGATAGCATAGGAAGAGAGAACGCGGGACAAAAACAACAAAGCACACGACTTGTATGAATTCCTGCCTATGTTTATCCCGTCATGGAGCCGTCTTCGCCTCGTCCGGCGAGAACTGGAATGGGCGGGCGGTGAACGCGAAGCGTCTTGAATAATATACATGTATACAGATATACATGTGTATATATATATATATATATATATAATATATATTTATTATATATATATATATATATATATTGTATATGTTCACGTCGTTAATTTCTAATCGTGCTTATTTTTAATTGTGTTCGCTTCTAATTGTTCCTGGCCCCCTGGTGGCCAGGAAGAGGCCCAGGATTTAACAATGAGAAATGAAAGGATCTTGCCCCCACAAAAAATCAAAGAGGTTCCGACGACTTACAAGTGAACAGTGTGTGTATGTTCGTACGCATCCCACGTCGGGTGCAGCCCAAAATGGCGGAGCCTCTACCGATCATCGCAGGCAAGCCCACAGGCACCCCGGCGCTCGGCGTGTTCTCTCTCGCCGCGGGACGCACAATGGCCAAGCCGACCTCTTGGACAGGCGGGCACGTGCCCTGATCGCACTGGCGCTGCACGCGCTTGCAGTCAACCAGTATTAGGCGGCGAGTCAGGGGGGGAAGTGAGAAGGGGCGTGCCTTCTCAGAAGGCTCGGACATCCCCCAGACTTCTGAGAAGTTTTCTAAGCCTTCCCCGAAGACAGAAACAACTTCTCAGAAGGCGCGAGGGCTTCTGAGAAGTCCCGCCGCCTTCTGAGAAGGCCTTCTCCTTCTCAATTCCCCTCCTCGCTCGCCGCCGAAGTATAGTAAGGATGCGCGATAAGGATGCAAGGGCTTTGGACGCTCATTTCGAAGCTTCTCGAGCGGGGCGCGGCCAGCGAAAGCGGCGAAGGATGGACCGAGGAGGCAAGGATACAAGGGTACCCTGAGAAAGGTTGCCCATCCTTACTAATGCGGGTTGACTGTACGAAACAATCGGCGTATCACTGAGCTGATCTCGGCTGGCCCGCGATGGAGACACGTACGACCATGCCTTACAGATACGGCTGGCTATCTCAACTGCCTGATCATCCAGCATGCTGTCCGCAGCGCAAGCGGAGAAGGACACCGCGATCTCCTTGAAGAACAAGCGGACCTTCGCTTCGGCTGTCGACGCGTCGCCAGGGAAGCTCTGCGGATCTAGCGTCGTCGGCAGGGTGCTCCTGTAGTACTCGTCGAATGGGAAGTCGAACCCTGGACCCTGGCAGGGACGTCGGGACCGCGACCATGCCCTGCGAGATGTTCCCTTCCGCCTCGTCCGTGGAGACCATCACCCTCACGATCGCCATCATCTGCTTGGGCGACGCCAGCATCCCCGAGGACAGGAACACCGGAAACGGTGCTAGACCCCGATGCCCGCGACCGCCCACTCGTCGTCCCGGGCGTGCTCGTCGATGACGCGGATGCCCTCCAACGAGAGGTACATCAGGGGCCCCTTCTAGCTTCTCGAGCAGGCTGACGAAACGCCAAACGTCGGCACGAGCACAGACTTCCGGAGGGGCCGCGTGGATGTCCAGGATCGGCGCTGGACCCCCCCCCCCCCGGGGCCTCCCTCCCCACATCCCTGCCCCGGCGCGCACCGTGGGGGGGCTGCGCCGGAGGCGCCGCCAAAGGTGAGAAAGGGGGTGGTTTCCTTGGCACGGCCGATTTGGGCATGAAAACGCTGGATACGACTCCCAGCAGCAGACGTTGTCCCGAACCGACAGCAACCTCTTTCAGCAGGCGCCCTTGTGCTGCTGCTGATGATGACGACGATGATTATGATGATGACGATGATGATGAGTGGTAGGAGGAGGAAGGAGGAGCGGGATGGGAACTAGGACGAAAATTAATGGAAGAGGGAGGAGGGGAGAGGGAGGATGATGAGGATGAGGATGAGGGAGGAGGAAAAGGAGGGAGAGGGGAGTGATCAGGAATATCTGGAGAAGGAAGAGTGGGAGAAAAAGAAAGGGCCTTGCATGGGTCCCAAGGCTCGGAGCGGTCCATGTTCTCTAGATCCTTGAGGTCGTCGAGATTGGTGAGCTTCCGACGCCGCTCGCACGGGTCCTCCACAATGAAGACGTCATCCTCAGATTGTTCCCTCTCGCGAAAATCAACGCATCGCCGCCATTCACTGTGCCGACGTCATCCTTCCAATGACGACGTCATCCCCATCCACATATGACGGGATCTTTTGAGTCGGCCGGGAGGGGGAGGCGGTTCTGGAACCCAAAGCCCAATCAGAACAACACGCGGGCGAAAATGACGGACCGGACCGAGAACTCAAACACGCCTGAGCTGCATCGAACGTGACATCGGATCGGATCGTAAACGGATCGCCGCGCCCATTGAATCGTCCTGAACCGGATCGAAATCGGATCGCCACTCACAGCTCTGGCTGGCCCCGGCTGATGCCGGTCAATCGAACCGAATCGGCCTGGACGAACTCAGCTTGGCCGAACTCAGCTTGGCCGAAGTCAACTGGCCGAAGTCAGCCTGGCCGAGAGTTCCGTTGCCGAGTCCAGCTGCTGCTCCCTTCGCCGAGGCAGCGGAGACCACGGGGAGGAGGCCGAGGATGGCGAGGCGGGTGCTGCAGGGGCACTGGGGCGCAGAGAGAGAGATAGAGAGAGAGAGAGGGAGCGGGTCGCGGGAACGGATGGGAGCAAGAGCGGAGACAGCCGCAACCGCTGGGCTGAGGAAACCACCCCTGGTGCCCCATATTTTCGCATATTTCCGTGGTGTTTGTCTTCCCCCCCCCTCCCATATCCTCCCATCTTCCCCCGGGAGTCGACGCTGAATGGCGTCTCTGTGTGCTTTTGTCCCCTCCTCTGACCCTCGGTGCCCTCCCGAGGACGACCTCGACCCCCCCAGCGGCGCCGACCCGCGCGCAGCGCCCGCTTCCTCGAGCACGCCGCGCGCGGGGCCCCCACCGCCAAAGGGGGGGGGGTCCGGTGTGCGGCCTCGGGGGGGGCGCCCGACGCGCAGCTCCCGCGGCCCGGCGGTTTTTTGCGGTGCCCCTGAGTCGCCCCACGGGGGGGGAGGCACCGGGGGGGGCAGGCGATCGCGCCCTTCGCCCGAGGGGGAGGCACGGGAGTGGGGCACTGACGACGCGATGCGAATCTACAGAATCGACGATCTTGTTTCCTCGAACTGCGGGAAGCTGGCGCCCCGACGCCCCTCCTCTGGAGGAGAGCCGACTGTGCCCCCGCGGCGATTCCAACCGAGCTCCCTCAGCTCAGCTATCTGGCCCCTGAGCGACCCCAAGGCGACTGGGGAGGCGAGGAGTACTGAACTGATGGACTTCGATGATTTCTGGGACACCGGAGTCCATGAGTTCAGTAATCCTGGCCTACCCAGTCGCCGTGTAGACGCTCGGGGGCCAGGTCGCTGAGCTGAGAGATCTCGGGGTGCGCATCGATGGCGAGCAGCACACCCTGCAGAGTGAATGAGCGCACTGCCGCCGAGTAGAAGGCAACGTGTTTTTGTTGGCTCCTCCACGTTGCGGCGCGAAGCAAGCCTGATGCCCGTGAGGTTGCCCCCCGAAGCGTGACGCCGAGGATGTCTACAACAGGGGGAAGAGGGACGCAGTGCGGAGGATAACGAAGAAGAAGACGACAGACCAACAAATTGACCGCGGGATCCCCATGGCCCCACCGGCCAGGCAAATGAACCAAGGAACCCAACAGCAAGGCCGAATGGAAGGAAGGCGATGTGTAAGGTGCCGCGCCTCGCAATGTCCACATGCAACAGTGCGCCAAAAAAATCCTGCTGTAGGCCGCTGAAGGCTTTCACATTCACGTACACGTCGTTCATTCCTAATCGTGCTTATTTCTAATTACGCTCGTTTCTAATTGTTCCTGGCCCCCCAGTGGCCAGGAAGAGGCCCAGGATAGAACAAGTGGAAAGGAAAGGATATAGGACCCCTAAAAATCAAAGAACTTTCGAAGACTGAGAAATGAACAATGTGTGCCTGCTCGTGCGGCAGAACATCGACCGAGCAGCAGCTTTCGGGGGTCGGCCGCTCGCGGCCACGTGCCGAGCAAGCAGTCTCGCGCAGAACACATCCGCAGAGGAAGCAACCGAAACATCGAATCCGCGAGCCCGCCAGCGCGGGACGCGGAGAGGGAAGGCGAGCAGGGAGGGCAGCGAAGAGAAGAATCTGATCAACATTGCCGTGCCTTTGCAGAACTACAGGCGCTGAACTGCCCGGGGCTTTTTTGGCGTCTGGCTCACAATGCCACCTGGTGGCCCGATCGCCTCGAAAACTGTGTTGCAATATTCGGCAATCCTGCGGCTACGTACAACATCATGTACAAAGGCAAGTACACTCCAAAGACGGCTGTGCAGACTACACACCCGATCGCAGCATTAGTATCACGAACACCCGTCGGCTTATGCCAAGCCATTTCTAATGAATGGCAATATCCAACATAATAATATATGGTCAAAAACGCGATGAGAAAAACCGTCTTCTGTGAACACGAGTGCAGCCAAGGCTGGGCTGGCCGCAGGCAACACGTACATCACGGCTTGCAAATATGAATTATATATCCGCCACCGTGCCGCAAGCACTGAGCGGAGTGTCCTCAGAGCTCCTTGGATAGCCCAATGTTAAATACTGCAGGCGGTCTCCAAAGGCCACAGATCTGGAGGCCTCCCAAATTAGGTCCGAATAGATGGGGTTGCAGGATCGCGCCGCATCGGCGACGTCGGCGATGCATCGGCGCCGTCGGCGTGGAACAAATCGGGATTTACATTGAGACTCGGTGTGGATCGAGCGCATCGGCGATCCCCCGACCAAATCTACTCGGACCCCACCTGGGAGGCCCGGGAAACCCTAACTCAGAGACTGCCTGAGGCGCTGCTGGGTTCTTCCGGGCGCTTCTGTGGCCTGGCGCGGAGCGGTTCCTGAGACCTAGCGCGTCGTCGGGGCTCCAACATCGCTCGGACGTCCATTCCCTTTTTGTTCGGTTTCGTGCGTGGTTTTCGCCAAATGATCAAGGATGCTCCTCGATGGTCCTTGCCGAAGGAAAATTACACATGTCCAGCGATGCCAACTCTACGTCGCTCCATGACGGCCACACGGGACAATCTCAAGGCTCTCTCGGACGTCGGTTGGGGCGTTCGGACGCCTCGCGGGTCGGCCCATCAGGCCAAAATCATGGAAAGCGCATCTTATGATATGCGATAAGCCAATACGAATTCGGCACTCTTGGTTTGTAGCTCTCCAGCGGCTGACAAAGCTTCATATACCCCACATATCGACGGAACAGGAGGAAAAGGAGGAACCAAGGGGGAAGACGAGGAGGGAGAGGAGGGAGGCGTACCAAAGATCTAGAGAGGAGGATCGGGTGGAGTACAAGAAGCGCCCTTCTTGAAATACCAGCGCGCACGGGCCTGCCATTCTGGCGAGAGCCCCGTTTTGAACGCTGATTGCTTTGAGTCGTTCTGACGCGTTATCAGGAACACGAGACAATTGTCGTACGACCCCCCTCTTCAAGCAGGACCGCCCTCCATCCTTGCGACTGCTGCATGGCCTCACACACGTGGCCATGGAATTCGATGCGCAGAAGGCCGTCATGGATCCGTGCTACCCGGCGTGCGTTGACGTTTCGGGACTTTCCAATTGACGGAGCCTCTGGCGATACGTCCATTTCGAGAAGAAAGTAGGCGCCCATCCTGTTCAACGTTGCATGAAAACATGTGCGCGGCGCTGAGGCGAGAGCCTCACTTTGGAAGCGACCAGCACCCAGTCTTCAAAACTGTTGCAAAGCTTTGGAAAGAATGGCCGCGGCGCTCAGGCGAGAAACTCAGTTTGGAAAGAAACCACCTTCCATCCGAAAAGCGAGTGAACACAATGAAAACGAATGCGCGGGGCGCCAAGGCGAGAGCACCATTTTGAAAACGACCTCAGGTCCAATCGTTTGAAACGAATGTGCGCGGCGCTATGGCGAGATCCACATGTTGAACACCATCCGCCCTGGCATCCCTGAAACGTTTGCAGATGTATGTGACAAACGTGCGCGGGGCGATGGCGAACGACGCTTTTTGAAGAGGAACCACTCTCCTTCAGTGAAAGTGTTGCAATCTTTAAGAAGAGTGTGCGCTGCGCAAGGGCGAGAGCCGCATGTCAAACACTGCCCACCCTCAATTCGTGAAACTCTTGCAAGCGGCATTAACGCCCAAACTGCAAATTTGAAAGGAGCCGCTGGCCACCCATGAAGCTGTTGCGAAATGTTGACGCGGCACTGAGGCGAGGTCCACATTTAGAAAAGAGCCGCTCTCCACCAAACAAACTGTTGCAAACTGTTTACATGAATGTGTGCAACGCAATGGCGAGAACCACATCTTGAAATGGAGCCGCCCTCCATCCGCGACGTCGTTGCAATTTTGCAATACGTGTGCGTGCGACGCTTCGGCGGGAACATCATTTTGATCCGTGAAACGAGTGTGCGCGCTGCGGAAGCCGAAACAACATGTTGAACACCACCCCCTCCACCCGTACAACTACTGCAAGCTCTAAAAACGAGCGTGCGCGACGCGAAGACGGGAACTCCAGTTTGAGAGCGACCCGCCGTCCGAATGTGAAGCTGTTGCACATTTCGAGCTTCGCAGTGACAGATGGTGAGAACATCTCGCGCGAAACACTCGGCCCACCCAACAGACACGCCTGGGGGATGCGAAAGGGGGCAGCTGTCGATAATGAAAACGATGGAAGGAGCAGTAGGCAGAGGAGGAGGAGGAGGGATGGGAAGAGCTGAATGGAAGGTGAGGAGGAGGATGAGGAGGAGGAGGAGGGACAGGAAGGATGAGGAGAAGGAGGAGGAGGATGAGAAGGAGGAGGAGGAGGAGGAGGATGAGGGACAGGAAGGTCGCTGCTGAATGCAATGGGGCTGGCCGTCGTCCTCGTTGCTCCAGTTCCCCTTGGCAGACCGTGCCGGCGCGCTGGCCTGCGGTGCCACGAGGGGGGAGGA